TGCCAATCCCAATAATGCTGCATGTCCTAGCCCATGTGCAGTCATTAATTACAATAATATTCCTTCTTATCCTTTGACCTTCTTCATTAAGCAGTTAGATCGTGCGCCTGACCTCAATCATCTTGAGCTGAAGTGTCATTGTTGTTGAGCCCCGCGATCATGCTTATCTGGTTGATCCTTCGACCAGAGGCTTCTTCAGGCTGAAATCCCACCAGGCCCTCCGAAGGCCCTCATTCGACCTGCTGGTACCCTTCGTGTCATCGATAGCCTCCTCGACCTGGGCCTCCTTCGACCTATTAACTCTTCATTCTTCATTCGACATGACGACTGACCCAGTTCAGTTTAGCTGCCTCTCTGGTCTAGCCGACCTGATATAGCTATCCCGTATCAAAACCATATTATCAACAATATAAAATAAAGGAACTATGTTTGCATAAAGAATAAACTGCAGAGATACACTTGACTAAAACATTATATTTATTCAAAATATATGTTAGAAACTTAAAGCCTGACTTTTTACAGTATACCCTATCAGATACCTAATGCAGTGGTAGGTTGTGAATTTGCACCCACATATCAACTTTTAGCTCCTCGCCTTTGAATTAAGTGTCATCCTTCTTCAATTCCTTAAGCAACAGGTACTGCCCATCAAATGACCATGTTTTCTCTAGTCTTCCTCTGTTCGAAACATAAATTGGAACAAATTTTGGCCTAGTATCCGCACCGAGGAAGGTTTGCATGTTCTCCATACTATCCCCATCGATGTTCGAAGCCCCCTTAGGTTTGGTTTCGCCCCTCCCCCCCTCCCCCCCAACAATCTTTCCTAATGGGCTAAACGTACACTCTTGAAGACCACACTCGTTGCGAAACTGAGAGCTAGCCAGCTCAATGCTCCAAAGCATTAGAGAACCACACACACAAAGGTGGTCTAGAACAAATACCAACACCTATGACCAAAGCACAACATATTAAGGCAGCAAACAAACTGAACCCTTAATACTACTAGCATCCAACAACAGCACCAGAACCAAATGAGATGACAGAGAACCTAGATAAGCAAAATAGTCCACAACTTACAGCAAACTAATAAAAAGAACAAAAGACAAACATCCCAGTACCAATATCCTGATGGTGAGTGCCCACTGTACCAAGAAATGGACCAAGGCCCCATCACAATCAGGTATCAAACTCTTCTGTTTGTTTGAGATGCAAATTCTTGCCAGTCTTTATCAGCAGCCCCACACAATCATCAGCATCGGCAACCATTCCTTTTTAAAAATCCATAAGTTCCGCGCTTTCCATAACCACCATAGAATGTAGGCGGTTAGCTGTATGCGAGCTTCAGACACTTTCTTGTGATCCACAGAACAAACACTCTCCCACGAGGTTATGAAATTGCTTGTATTTTCTCTGTTAAATTCCCATGAAACTGGAGACAGCTTCCACACCTGCTGAGCTGTAATGCAACTGAAGAAAACATGTTCAACTGTCTCAATGTCTTCACCACATCTTTGGCATATATTATCAACCTCCATGCTTCTCCTTTGCAGATTGCACCTAACTGACAAAGTGTTTATGTAGCATCTCCAAAGGAAATGCTTCAGCTTCCCTTTGATGTGAAGTTTCCAGCTTCTCAATCTGATTTCTGCCCTCTGCTATATCCATTCCCCTGAACTTGCCTTCAATGAGTTTTGAGTAGGCCTTGGCAACCACAAACTCCCCAGAAGCCTCATTATCCCAGGTCCATTTATCATCTTTGGTAGGATTAATTGTCTTGATCTGCAAGATAGCATTGCTCACCTCTTCACTGAAACACTCTTTGACCATACAGTAATTCCAATTCCAGCCACCTGAATCAAACAGCTCCCACACAAATTGGACATCTGATCTGCTACCAGGAAGAACAAAGGGAGTGCCAGAAGTGATTCCTGGGATCCATAGATCCTGCCAAATTTTGGTAGTCAATCCATTGCCTATTGATCTTCTGAAACAGCTCTGGTACTTCTTCATAACACCAAGCAATGTCCCCCACATCCATGAAGAATTTTGCTTTTTCTGAGCACAAAGGATGCTACCATTAGGAAAATACTTTCCTTTCAGGAATCTGCTCATCAGAAGCTGAGGATTAGATAGAACTCTCCATATCTGCTTAAGGACCAATGCCTCATTAAAAAGCCTCAAATCATGAAACCCAATGCCACCAAACTCTTTTGGTAGAGTCATATATTTCCAAGCCTTCCAATGAATACCTGCTGAGGCATCTTCTCTAGTGCTCCACCAAAAGCTAGCAACATACTGGAAATTTTATGGCACAGAGATATACGCAGAGAAAAGCATGACATGGTATAAACTGGTAAAACATTCAATACTGCCTTCATGAGAACCTCTTTCCCAGCAAAGGATAAGAATTTCTTCCTCCAACAAGATATTTTCTTTCTGACCACCTCTACCACATATTCAAAAGTTTGCTTTTGTGATCTTCCAATTCCAATTGGCAATCCCAGGTATTTGGATGAGGAATGAACTTGGATGCCAGAAAGCAAGTCGCAAATGGAAGATTGTAAAGCTGCAGAGACATTCTTGCTAAAAACCACAGAGGACTTCAACAAGTTCGCCTTCTGACCACAGAGTTTATTATATAGATTATGAACTTTTAGCACCACTCTCACAGATTGTACATTTGCACCACAGAAAACTAATGAATCATCAGCAAAAAGTAGATGTGATAGAGAGATACCACCCCCTAGGATAAATAGATAAGGGGAAATCGGGTCCCCTTGTCTAATACCCCTAGTTGCCTTAAAATAACCACATTGCTCACCATTGACATTTACAGAAAAGGCAGTAGTAGATACACATTCCATGATCCACTGAACAAATACAACATGGAAACCAAATTTTAGCAAGACCATTCTGATACAATTCCATTCAAGCCTATCATATGCTTTCATCATGTCTAATTTGATGGCCATGTACCCTTTCCTACCATTTCTATGTCTATTCAAGAAGTCAATCATTTCATGTGCCATAATCACATTATCAAGCAACTGCCTACCTGGGATAAAGCAGCCTGATTTTCACTCACACAAAGATGCATAACAGGCTTTAATCTAGTTGCAAGGATCTTGGAAATCACTTTGTATGCAACATTACACAGACTTATGGGTCTGAAATCACTCAAAGTACTGGGATTAAGACATTTTGGAATAAGACAGATAGTAGTGTGGTTCCAGCTTTTGAGCAGTTTTTTAGAGGCAAAAAAACTAGAGATAGCAACACATAAATCAGCTTTCACAATAGGCTAGAAGTGCTGGAAGAAAAGGGGTGACATACCATTCTCCCCCGGTGCTTTCCCTGGATTTAAACTTAAAAGAGCATTATGAATTTCTTCTTCATCAACAGCAGCAACAAGGTCCTGGTTAAAGCTATCAGGTATGGAACACGGAATAAGATGCAGGATTTGATCTTCGTCATGGCTACCAGCAGAAGTGAACAACTCAGAATAATAGTGGCAAATGGCTTTCTCAATCTCCTCTTGTGACTCACAAATCCTCCCACTATCAACAACCAGTCTAGTAATGGCATTTGTTTCTCTCTTGTGCATAGTGATGGCATAGAAGAATTTAGTATTTCTGTCACCTTTCATCAGCCACTGATTTCTAGACTTCTGTCTCCAGAACTCTGTGCCTCCTCTAGTTCTCTTTTCAACTGATCCTAACTTTCCCAGTTTCTCTCCCCACCTTTAGCTCTCAGTTCCTCTGGGCCAATAGTTAGCTCCTCCACCTTCTTTGCATTCTCTGATTTGAACACCTGGCTCCATTTTAACAGTGCAATTCTGGTCCTTTTGATTTTGTCTTTGAACTGGAACATAGGAGTCCCACCATTATTGCTTCCCCAAGAGGTATTGACAACCTCATGTACTCCTTCTTTGGCAAACCATCTGCTGTCAAACTGAAATCGAGGCTTCCCTTTCTTGCTGAGTAAACCATCACTAGATAATACAAGAAGACTATGATCAGAAGCAGTCTTGAGACAGTTGACCACCACATCATTTTGATTTTGATTCATCCATCCATAGGAGGCAAAAACCCTGTCCACCTTCTCTTCAATGTATTCCTCCCCTCTTCTATTGTTACACCATGTAAAGTGATGCCCTTGCATACAAATCTCACCCATACTCATAGAAGAAATGAAATTTAGAAACCCAGCTAGCTCCTCGGGCCCCTTTTCTCTACCTCCCACTTTGTCTTCTGAGTTGACAATTGTGTTCCAGTCCCCACCAATTACCCAGTTGGCACCCCACTTGACTTTAGCCTGAACTAAAAACTCCCATTGCTCAGCTCTAAGATGCCCACCTGTACTTGCATAAATCAGCACAAACCACAAGGAACCCCCTCCTTTATCATCCACAACTTCAATCTCAAAACAGAAAGAGTGACAAATGATTTGAATGATCTTATTAAAAATTATTGTCAATATTAAAAATTAGTCATATTATCAATATATGCATCCCTATTGAAAACTCAACATAAAAAATATATTTAATAATAATGCAAATGTTTGATATCGAAATTTGGTATGTTGGATTTATTACACGTTCTCGAAACTTTCTTGCATTCCCAATGTAATAATAATCATATTTTTTTTATTTTTTCAAGTTGATAAATTCTAGCCCATTTTTTTAATTTGTGTCTTTGTTTGCGTAATGAATAATGATGAACTAAATTCTTTTCTCTTTTTGTTCAAATTATAATGATGAACTAAATTCTTTCTCTTTTTGTTCAAATTATTTTTCATGTACTACAAAGTTGCTTATTATTTCCAAATGTCACCTAAAGTGGACCAAATGAACTCGGGCAGATTGTGACGTGAGATTTAGTGGACATTTACCCACGCAATATCTTATCAACTTATCCAATATTCTCAAAATCGAAACTTATTTCACGTTTGATATCTTAGGCTTGGAGCATCACAGAAGGTGATAACACTTACGTACAAAATGATTTGCAGAAAATCAACTGATACAGAAAGTGATAACACTCGATGCCAAAAAGATTTGCAGAAAACATATTGCAATTACGAAGGTTTATTCCTCTACCCGTATGAATTGGAAGCCAATTCATCTGAACATATCTCAACCAATTGGAGCGGGTGCAACAAGATCGCCCCCAAAAGAATAAAATGTTGCCAAAAAAAAAAACTCTACAGAAACTATACAAAAAATCCAAAAAAGAAAAACACACAAGTGTGTAGTGCAAATCATCATACAAACTCTGCTATTCAACCTACTATCATATCATTATCGGTTAATCATCTATACGTTGTATCTCACCCATCATGATCCGATTGCTTGTAACCTTGAAACCAAGAAGAGCTGGATCGATTTGCCTACCTTTCTTCCCCTTTCTTTTGTTGTTTCGGGCTACTGAAGCTGAAGAGGCAGTCCCAGCATCGGTCAACTCAGAATGATATTCGGGAGGAGGCTTCTTGGAGCTGTTGCTCTTGAGCATGTCACTGAACGAAGTCTCCATCACATCCTTAGCATCATTACAGGATGATGTTCGCCTAAACAGAATGGGACTTCTTCCGGATGATGCCTCTACTGCCTTGTTTCCCGCATTACTATTAATGCTATTTCCTCCTTCTCGTCTTGCCCCTACAAACCAACAAAATGCCAGAGATTAACTTAACAATGACACCCAGATACACTGATTAGACATTCAACCATCAATCCCACTAAGTGGGATCAGATATATGGACCAAATTAATGATATATTAAGTAATATGGTTAGAAGAAGATAAAAGAACTTGCAACTTGGAGCCAACTACTTGGGTTAGAAAAAAAAAATGGCAAAATAGTGAACAAAGACAACAGTTACTGTACCCATAGAAATGCTTAATCACAGCCTAAGGTATATATAGACGAAAGCAGAAATCTCTGCCCCAACAATCAGTCATTAAAGCTAAAAATTTATTTAGTTGAACGAAAGAAGCAAAGAAATACCAGAGATTCAACCTACCATCAGATACGTCATTTAAAAGATTTTTTCGTCTGGCTGAAACGGCTGATGCACTGAGCTCAGACAACCCTTCCTGAGAAGATGCAGCTCTTGACACCGGCGGACGTCTCAGCAACAAATTTTCTGGTCCTTTTAAATGCAAAGATCGCAACCNAAAGAGGGCACCAAGCAGCCAAAATGTGAGATGCAGAGAGGACTCAACAAGAAATTTCAACTAATTTCTAAAGCATGATTTTCAAATTACGAAGACAATCCACATACTGCACACAGACATGTTTATAGAGGAGTTCATTGGGCAAAAAGAGGCGTGCATACCATCTCAATATCGGGCTTAAATATATTATACTTGGAAACAGAGTTCCACTAACCAAGGACTTCTACACTCTTATACTTGGAAACAGAGTTCCACTAACCAAGGACTTCTTTGTTATTTTGTTTTCAGAATGTCAGAGGATCGTAGGATACTGACAAGTATCAGAAAAGACCAAGCATATATCTCACCTATCCTTAGTAGCATCCTCCAACAAGGAGTCGCCTGATCCAATCTTCTGAATGGGAGAACCTGATCATTGACCCCAGTTTGTTACTCTTTAAATTGGAAGGTCCGAGTGAAATAAAGGAAAGGCCAAAATTATAGAAGGAACATGAAAACATTACCAGTTGAGCTAAGTGACTTGTGCCTGACAAGGGGATTATCAGTCATTTCACCTCGATCTATAGGTACCAAGTGAGTCTGCTCAACTATGCCATCCTGAGCCTCTGAAATTATTCCCTGAATTGTACCATCACTGATGAGAAATCTTTTCTTTTCTTCCATATTAGAGATAGTTATTTCTTCTTCTGCCTTGTTACGCATGATAAAACTATCACAGCATACCTGAGAGTTTTCACCATTGTCTGCCACAAATGGTCTTCCTTCAACTAATGTTCTGCCTTCAGATCTATAAGACAACTCGCCAATTTCATTAACTTTGGTAATACCGTCGGAAGATCTATTCTGGTTTTGTCCACCAGAATCAGAACCATAAGACCCAACAGTGGATGGGTTGTCAAAACCAGATTCCTGATCTGAAACAACATTAAATGACTGGTTAGCCATGCATGTCCCAGAATAATGGCCTGAAGATGGCCTCCTCTCGTGTGCTATTCCATTAACCACATCAAACTGTTCAGTGGATGGGTTATCAGACTTCTGATGTAGTAACTCCATTAGCAAGCGCTTAGAACTGTCATCATCATTTGCTCCAGCAGACATCCAAAAACTAGAGTCTTCAACACTCCTTTTAGAATCCAATTCCCTAATGTGTCTCTCATTACGAAGATGCAGCTGTTGCATTCTTGACTCCATCCAGTCGCTCGATAATTGATCATTATCCTCGGGCCAAATATTGTCTGTTGTATCCAAGCGTGAAGCGTGAATTTGATTTGGAACTGAAGGGTGGTTTGAATGCCGAGAATAAACATTGATTGATGAACCACCAGGTTGTAGCCGGGCAATCTGTTCCTGCATTTCTAAACCTTGATTCACAAAATCACGATTCAATCCACCATCCACAGGCAATGGCATCGGACGCTCAAAAGGTAACATGCCGTGCTCATAAAGGCCATGTTGAAGTCTATCTTGTACTGAAGGATTCCTCCCATCAGAAGATGGCACTTGTTGGGAATAGAAGTCCAAAGGGACTCCAAACCCAGCAGATATAGCTCTATTAGAAGAAGCAGGATTCCTGTGGAACTGGCCTGCTTCATCAAATGACCATCCAGGATTAATTTGCTTTTCTTCTTCCATATCCAGTCGTTGCCTCAGCCCCAACGGCAACTGCTGCCTCCCATGTAGCTGATCTTGCTGAATAATCTGTTGTTCAAGGGAGTGAACCTCACCAAGTCTTCCACGAGATAAAAGCTCCAACATATCATTTGGATGTCCTTGATGGGGTATTTGACCAAATTTTGCTTGAATTAGCTGCTCAAGAGATGGATCCAGATGCCTTGGGAATTGGGAATGCTGCTGCAGATCATTTAGGATTTGTTGCTTCAGTATCGCTTGAGCAGCACCGGACCTGAGAGTCTCAAGACGTGACTGCCCACGACCAGACTCAAGCATTTGACTATGCAGTAGCTGCTCAAAAAGAACTTGCCTCGCCTGAGACTCATGTTGCTCTTTCAACAGTATCTGTTGTTGATGGAACTGCTGTTGTTGTAGTTGTTGTTGCTGCTGCTGTTGAAGCTGCATCTGCCTCTGCTGTTGCAACTGCATGGCTAGGATATGTTCCATATCTTGTCCTGACTGAATGGCAAGCTGCTTGTGGTGCATCAAGTTCGAGATGGGCCCCCCTTCAAGCATTGCTTCATTCAAGTGTCTATTATTAGAGAGCATCACATTATGTGGCTGATGATGCTGCTGCAGCTGAAGTTGGGGCAACAGCTTCTCTGCTAAACCATAATGGTTGTTGTATTTTTGGTTCACTCTTGAAATATGACCAGTGTCAATAATGCCATGGTACAATTTGGAATCAGAAAGTGCACTGCTGCTATAACCATCATTCCATCCCTCAGGGGCATGACTAAGATTAGTCATTGCACCAAAATGATCAAGGCCTCCAGAAACAGGGTTTAAAAATTTATCTGGTGCAACCCCACTGAACATGGGTGTCTGATCATTCCTCGAGGACGTACTCTCAAGCTCAGACCATAACAAACCAAGAGGATGCAAAGTACTATCCTTTTTATTAGACACAACAGAATCTGTCCTTTCAATGGTATGATAAGATTGGTTGCCACTGTTTGTAGCAAGTTCAGCATACCCTCTGGACATCTGTCCTATATCAGTGCGGCCATTTCCAGGTCTTTGAGGTAACAAAATTTCTGTTCAAAGAGAATTTGCAGCAAACAATCAGAATGAAAAGAATTCTATATGATAAAGAAACTAGTGAACCAAACAACTACGAGTCTACCTTCATCCAGTGCACCAAAATCATGAGAATCTTCTCCCTGAGTGTACAAGTGTTGTGACGGCTGACATTGATGTTCACTTGCTCGAGGATGAGCTTGCTGTGGAGGGATAGCATCAAAATCAGACAACTGCCAGCCTGAGCCATCTATTACATTGGAAGTACCCGATGCAGGAACAGAACGTAATGTTTCCAATGTACCCTCCATGACGGAAGATTTCTCTAATATATTGGAACTTAAATCAGCTTCACTATCGTACTCATTTTGAAATTTCAGATGAGGCATCACGTCTCCCAATTTTTGGAAAGGTGCCTCATCAGAAGCATCTTCAAAACGGACAGGTAAATCGGTCCCAAAAAATCCTTGCTCAAACCATGAAATGATATCCACACCAAGAAAAGGACCCTGGATTTCTCCTTGAGGATCCTGATAATATAAACTTAGTTCCTCAGGAGGAATCCCTCTATCTAGCGGATACTCATTTGCTGCACTCCCAATGTTGGGTAGCTGACCACCCCAATGCTTCTGAGATGTTGGCAAAGAGTTCCCCTCACCAAGAAGGTTATTATTAGCATCAAATAACATGGCAGATTTGACACTGTCGAACATAGCCACTGGAACTTCATAGTTCTCTTCACGATCTGCAGATATCTCTGAGGTACAGTTGAAAATGTTCTTTTATGTTTTTAACTCGGAAAAGTGAAAAAGAAAGGAAAAAAAAAACTATAACACTTTAAATGAGCAATCACACCAAATAAAATACCTTTTCTTGGTGAAGTATGGTAGAAGACATTATCAACACTGTATTCATGAATATCAAATGAAGTTTTCTGAAAGTTGCGCAACTCTTCATCGACGTCAACAGACGACGCTAGCCTTACCTCATTGAATTCATTGTCCCCCGATTCTAGAAAAATATACAATAAGGAACAGTAATATAAGCAACAGGCAATTAAAGATTGAATCTAGGTAATTTGCAAAATGTTAAAACATTGTCGCCTTCCAGTGTGTCACTCGTAAATTACCTGACATGTTTTCAGAGGACCTACCCTTCTCAAGTGAACTGTAAGAGGCTCCACTGCTTGTTAATTTACCAGTCCATATGTCATTCAAGATGGCCTGTAACAGAGAGGAACTCGTAACATTTCTAATGATGGTACATGCATAATAGAAACTAATAAGTCAATAAATGATCTCACCTTCTGCTCGGTATCAGGAGCAACAAAAGCTAAAGGCTCAACGTTCTCCAACTGGCTTACAGGGGGTACTTCCTCAAAATTTTCAGGCATGTGGGCAAGAGAAGACTCCAGCTTTTGCTTGCGATATATGTCGAGAAGTTTGCCCCTAGGGTAAACAAATGTACTATCAAGAAGGATTGGTTTCCCAAGAACATTCCCAATCTTGTCATATTCAGGAGCACCAATAGGACTTGCAATTGGACTTCTTATAACAGAAATACTTGACCTTCCACGCCCTATGGTAAAGCCCACATTTGACCCCTCAACTCGTCCCTTTTCAATGCCAAATCCCGGTGCAGCACGATAACCTGACCCACCTGGATTTCCATCCATCCTGTGTCGCGGCCTCCACTTATCACGAGAATCTGAATCACGTTCAGGAACAGAACGGGTATTCGAAACAAATGATTGAACTTCAGTCTGCGGCTCTTCCTTCTCCATCTCTGTCTTTCTCTCCACCCGAATATCCTTTTCTTTGTCATCAGGACCCCACCTTAAGGACCATTTGCTGTCACGCCTCAGTTCATGTCCAGAGTTGCGACCACTAGCATCATTCCACCTCTCAGTGGCAGGCAAAGATCTATTGTCAGTTGATTCTCTGGCTGGAGCATTTTCAACGCGTCTCTCCATCTTCCTGCGATCCCTTCGACCAAGCAATCCAGTTTCCCTTTCTTCTTCACGCCAGCGGCGCACTCCCTCGGATTCATGACCAACTTTTCTCCTGTCTTTTTTTTCCTCAGTCACATCTGAGCGCCAAACCTCCTTCTGGCTCACATCTGCAGAACTTCCAAGAGATAAAGAGCTCGGTCCACGGGTCTCCTAGCAAACAGAAGAATATCACCAATGATGGAACATGATACTAACAGAATAAAATATAAAAAGGGCCTACAATTTTAATGGATACAAACAACATACTTCCTCAGATATTATAATCTGAAGACAAGAGTGTGACTTCGTACGTCAAAACCAGTCAGATATTTTTTACCATAATTCACACTGTACACAATGAAGATTAGTGAAAACAGACTCAAGAAGCAGTCACTTTAGTACTTGCGACCGATACTCAGAGTGGCATATGTATTCAGTATCCAGCGAAGTACATAAGCAGGACAAAGCACCTAACATTCCTAACTTCACAAAAATGTATTTAAGGGTGCAAATTTTATTTAAATCTACAATTTACATAAAACATCAATTCGAAGTGCACAACATATATAATGAGAATACCAGTCAAGGTTTTGAGAACATAGAAATCACAGATTCCATTAAAAAATAACCCTGTCCACTGTTATGTTCACTTAAGTAATCAAGAGAACAATGCGACTGGATCAATTGGTCAGTTTACCATTTTAGGCTCATTTGGCTTAGCATACAGCCACTGAGGAGACAATGGAATGCTCTCAGACACTGCTTGATCTGTGACAATAAATCGATGGAATCAGCAAATGGAGAGCAGACATGAAAGGAATCATGAGAAACATACTACATCAGTATAATAACCTGAAATGCTTACTTACCCTTTGATTCATCCAGTAATCCAGCCAATCCCCTGTCTTCATCATTTCCCAGTGCAGCTTTATTGAATAATATTACAAAAATACATCAATATTTAAGACAAAAATATTAAGCTCTACAAGAACACTTCTGCAAGTTATTAATATGGAAAATTCAAGAGGGATTCAGAGCTGATTGAAACACTACACATCTACTCCATAGGTGTGGAAAACTAATATAAAAACTTCAAGCGAAAGTTCAAGATTGATTTCTAGTGGAAGACTTTTAACGTCCACCCAATTTTTCGAAGTAAAATATTAGAAAAAAAAAAAAAGTAATAGTAAAAGAAATCAACTCATTTTCATCTTTCCAAATCACTCAACATTGAATTAAATCTTAGCTTAAAATAAAATATAGGGTGAAGATCCTGATCCGTAAACCTTGGACCAAACTAAAGGCAGCGGATCAGAAAATCAACGGACAGGATCCTGTGTATGATAGCCAGATCCAATCGGGTAGAATAAATTACAGCACGTAAAATATTGACACGACATCTAAAGCAGCAATCTACCTTTCGGAGTCCACAATTGATCGGCCGGAGTAGATGTAATGAGATCCTCCGGAAGGTCTAACTTACTTCCCGCCATCACACTAAAGATATTTCACAGAATTTCAGCGAACAATCAAACGCCTCGACGAAATTCGCACCAAAAGAAAAGGCAAATAGTGAGTAAAAGATAAGGACGGAGAGAGAAGTAAATTGGCGATTGGCAATACAAATATTCAGATTGAAAGAGATTCCACAACCAAATTGACAGGTGAATACATATATGAAAATATAAGTGGAGCGAAAGCGATAATTAGGGTTTGTGAGAGCACTTGAAAATGGTTGAGAGAGAGAGCGAGCATAGGGAGGAGGAAAAAAAGGTGAGGGTTTGGGTGGTGAGAACAACGAAATCAAATAATTGGTGAGGATGAAGAGTGATTGGATACAAATAAAATCTTTTTTATTGTATTTATTAGATAAAACGAATTAATTTTTAATAAAATTTGATGATTGAACGAAAATTCTGAATTTGTAGGTAATAATATTTAAAATATAACATTCAAATTGTTTTGATATAGAAGAATGAGAGAGGTTATTGAAAATAATTAATAGTTAAATATATTTTAGTAGAAAAATAGTGAATTAAAGTTATAATTTGTGAGGATTATTAATTGATATTGATACGGTTATTTTAGTAGAAAAATAGTGAATTAAAGTTATAATTTGTGAGGATTATTAATTGATATTGATACGGATACCACACCAGCTAGAGAAAACCCACTATCTCGGCCAGCAGCGAACTAGTTGGTCGAACATAGCCGCAGGAAGGTTGAACGCCAGTGCAAGGCAAGGAGTCTTCAAGACGAATGTTTATTTATATCTTACAGGTTAAGAAAATGCAGTAATTAGCCGAGACTTAATTCGTTTATGACGATCAGTATAAATCGAAATACTCCTCTCTGGATCCATTCAATACACCAACATGTACTAGTGTGACTAGTTAGTCAAAATAAAAGTTGTACAGTTAACACTATAATCGTTCCGATGGTTTGTTCATTCCATCTGGATTGTAAATCAATTGTTTTATGTTTTGCAAGCAATCATCTTTTGATCATTCATGATGAACCATTTTTCTAAATGCAAAGAAATAGAATATAGAACTTTATTTAATCAATCATGAATTTTCATTCAACATAAATAGTGAGAATAACATCTAAAGTCAAGCTTTCAGTATACACACTAACAATCTCCCACTTATACTTCTTGTGCTTTTCTACTATACATCTTTCAATCCTTCATTCTAAAAGATCTATGTCGATCATGTTACCATACATCTGATTCTCATTCCTTTCACCTGTCTGACTAAGAACTTTCCCGACAGACACTTTGTGAAAGGATCAGCTATGTTGTCCTCCGATGCAATCTTGGCAACCTCGACGTCTTCTCTTCCTACGATCTCTCATATTAAGTGGTATTTGCGCTCTATGTATTTATTGGCCTTGTGGGCTCGTGATTCCTTTGAGTTTGCTACTGCTCCACTGCTATCACAGTAAACTGTGTGACAACCACGTGACAAACTCGGAATCACTTATAAGTCCACCAAAAAGTTTCTGAGCCATAATGCCTCTTTCACTGCTTCAGAAGCTGCGACATACTCGGCTTCGATGGTGGAGTCTGCCACACATTTCTGTTTGATACTCCTCTAGGAAATGGCTTCACCTTCTAGTATGAACACATATCTTGAGGTAGATTTACTTTCGTCCCGGTCTGACTGGAGGTTGAAATAGGTGTAACCCAGCGGTAGCAAGTTGTCAGTACGGTAAACTAACTTGTACTTCTTAGTCCTTCTCAGGTACTTGAGTATATGTTTCACCGTAGACCAATGTCCCGAACCTGGATTACTTTGATATCTAGCTACTAAGCTTACCGTGTAGCTAATATCAGATCGTTTACACAAGATTGCATACATGAGGCTTCCATCTACCAAAGCATAAGGAACTGCCTTCATATCCTCTATATCTTGAGGTGTCGTAGGTGACATCTCCTTAGACGGAGGCACTCCATGTCGAAAAGGTAACATACCTTTCTTGGAGTGTTGTATGTTGAATTTGGTTAGGATAGTATCTATGTATGAAGATTGGGACAAGCATAATATTCTCTTCTCACGATCTCGACTGACCTTAATACCAAGTGTAACGCCCCGTTATTTTTATAAGAAAAATACCAAAATTTTCCAAAAATCAGAGTTAAATTTTTGCAAACATTTTAAAAAATTCTTCAATGGCCATTACTCAACTAATCTCAAGTCAACAGCTTAAGTCGCAACTTAAGCAACTGGGAATTAACCATCCCAGATTAACACTTCAAGCCAAACAAGTAAAACATGCTTCAATGATAATTTCAAACATTACCAACATCAATAATTCCAATTCATAATTCAAGCATGCATAAAAATCCAAATTACATTCCAATCTCAACAATCAATATTCTAACAAGTCTGGCAGACGATAATAATAATAATAATAAAAAAACGAAAGCAATAACAATTCATAAGCAACAAGTATGACCCCGCTCGCGTGTCTTTCGCCGCTGCCACCAGCTCAACCTGAAAAGGGGGAAACTAGTGGGAGTGAGCGACCAATATGCTCACTGTGGGAATACCATGCAGTCTATTCAATATAATGACTTAAATCATAATCGCAGCATGAACGCAAATCGCCTAGTTTACCTCCTATACAATCCTACGCTCATGTGATCACATCTAAACTGTCGGAATACCATCAACGGGAGCTAAACCGTCGAAACTCCATCAACGAGAGAATACTCTCTATAGGAAAAAATAGGAGAACGTCGGAACTCCATCAACGTGAGAACCTCTCAAAGACTAACGGTTTACATGCATACATTGATTATCAAGCTAAGCAATTATAATGAATAACATACACAATAAGGTTTATCAACACCCACCTAGTAGACGAGGTAGGCAAAGCACACAAGTAGAACAACGTAGGTCGAGGGCTTGACTCCTCAAATACCTACATTTAAGAGAGATAATATATCAATAATATATCTCACTACTCGGACTTTATACAAAACCCACACTTAATCAACATTAAGGCTTAAGGGTTTTAATTAGATTTTTTGTGGACTTAGCTTGGAAAAATGACTTAGAACCCATACTTATCGGAAGTTAGGATTGAATGCCAACTGACTGCACCCGACACGCCCCAACAGAACGGGATTGCAGAGTGAAGAAATAGGACTCTTATGGAGATGGTTAGGTCGATGATGAGTTATTCGAGGTTACCAGATTCGACCTGGGGTATGGCGTTGGAAACAGCATCTTACGTTATGAACATGGTTCCATCGAAGTCAGTGGATACTACTCCTTATGAGATGTGGAAAGGGCGCAAGCCCAGTTTCTCACAGTTTCGAGTATGGGGTAGTCTTGCACACGTGTTAGCGCAGGAACCTGGCAAGTTGGAATAACATTCGGAAGCACGAGTTTTCTTAGGCTATCCCAAGGGAACGAAAGGTGGATTATTTTATAGTCCTGAGGATTAGAAGGTGATCGTTTCGACGAACGCTAGATTCTTGGAATAAGACTATATTATGAATCGTAAGCCCGCAAGTAAATTAGTCTTAGAGGAGTTAAGGAGTGAAGTCAATGGTTCCTCACCGAGTGCGCAAGTAGATACATCACATAATACTGCAACACGACACACTGAGAGTGTACCAGTGTATACAGTGCCTCGTCGCAGTGAGAGGGTTTCTCATTTATCCGACCGATGGATAGGTCTTGGAGAGTCATCGGATTCAGTTCCAGGAGACCTAGAATCGGACCCAAGAACTTACAATGAGGCACTCCAAGATAAAGATGCAGATTCATGGAATGTTGCAATGAAAGATGAAATAGGGTCAATGGACTCCAATCAGGTCTGGGATCTTGTAGAACCACCCGATGGGGCACGACCCATTGGATGTAAGTGGATCTATAAGAGAAAGAGAGGACCAGATAAGAAGGTGCAAACCTTCAAAGCTAGGCTTGTTGCGAAAGGTTATACCCAGATCGAGGGTATTGACTATGATGAGACCTTTTCGCCAATATCTATGCTTAAGTCCATTCGGATTCTATTGGCTGTAGCTGCTCATTTGGATTATGAGGTCTGGCAGATGGATGTCAAGATGGCTTTCCTTAACGGAAACCTTCAAGAAGACATCTATATACAGCAACCAGAGGATTTCATTAATAAGGAGCGTGAGCATCTAGTGTGTAAGCTTAAGCGGTCTAATTATGGACTGAAGCAAGCTTCGAGATCTTGGAACATCCGTTTTGACGAGGTGATTCAGTCGTACGGCTTCACTCAATGTCCGGATGAGCACTGTGTTTACAAGAAAATCAGTGGGAGCGTGGTAGTGTTTCTTGTGCTTTACGTAGATGACATACTGCTTATTGGAAACAGTAAGAAGGAGTTATCAGACGTAAAGGTGTGGTTGTTTAAGAAGTTTGATATGAAGGACTTAGGTGAAGACAGACACATTCTTGGTATTAGGGTCATTGGAGACCGTAAGAAGAGAATGTTGTGCTTATCCCAGTCTTCATACTGTTAGATATGCTATAAAATCTTGGCTTTCAGATATGAACAATTCCGTTTTGATCTGGCAGTCATGTTTTAGTCAAAGTTCATATGCTTGCAGTTTATTTATTTGTGCAATCATACTCCTTCTCTTACATTGAGGTAGTGTGGTTCGTGGTGTCTCGAACAGAAAGATCACCTATTGGTTCCTTGTAAGACTAAACTATTTGTTCACAGTTTTGACAGGCGGTGAGACCCCTCTTGGAAAAGGACTGTAGTGTATTCTTGATTCAGTTTATCTTGGACTGGACAATTACACTAGTACTTATCACTAATCGTTGTTGTAATCTAGACCTTCGTGAAGTTTGATACTTAACCAAACTGAATTAAATGAAAATTCAGACAATTGCGGAAGCAGATTCACTGAAAATTGAACCTTCAGGAGAGCGACCCACTCTCCCTTCGGATCTCTTTCATCAATGCAATCAACTCACTCATTCTTCAAGGGTTTACAGTATAGACTCCCTCTACACTCTACTTGAACAATAAATTGCACTACTACTTATCCGACCACAAGTCCTTTGTAGTTTTTCACGTTTGAATCCCTCAAACTAAAAACAGAGTGAACCTACGAACACTCTATATTTTTCCTCTCAACAATGATCACCCTCCCTCACAAAAATTTCACAAAATAAAAAAAAATCCCAAATGCCTGATACATCCAATATCTTATTTGAAAAGAGAATGTAAGAAAAGTACTCCTCAAAATGTTCTCGTCGTCCTTTTATCCTCATCCTTCATATGGTAAGTTCTTTCTCTAGCTTCCCAGCCAAGTCATGTCACATTATGGAAAGTC